TGGGTGGTGTAAAAAGGTGTTACGCCTCTGGTGGGACTGGTGTTGACTGGGAAAGCAAATCAGGACGTTGTGGAATGACAGACATGCTCCCCACCAGTCTCGCTGTGGGTGTGGCTTCCATCAGAGGGGTGCCAGCAAATAGCACCCACCATACAGGCAATTACCACAGGAAACATGTATTATAGTAAAAAACTAATTACGTCAGGTTGTTGTCGGAACCTAAAGCAGAGCTCATAGAGAAGGGAGGGTTACAGATGAAACGTGGACTTCGGAGAGGGTAAAATCACACAGAAGGTGGTCTCTGTGGAGATGGAGGGCACTGGGAACTTTCAGCAAAGTATGACAGGGTTTGTTCTTACAGCTGGCATTTTTTGTTTGTTTTTGTTTTTTGAGACAGAGTTCCTTTTCTCTGTGTAGTCCTGGCTATTCTGGAACTCACTCCATAGACGAGGCTGACCTCGAATTCAGAGATCCACCTGCCTCTGCCTTCTGAGTGCTGGGATTAAAAGCACGTGCTACCACTGCCTGGCTACAGTTTTGTTTTTTGAAACAAAAGATACTAAATTGTGTGGGAAAGAAAGGTGGGGGGTCTGAAAAAAATTGAGAAAAGGAACACGAATATAATAAGGTATATTATATGAAAAACATATTAGAAATGGGTTAATACTAGATGTAAGAGCTAGCTAGCAATTCACTTAAATGAGTGACCAAGCAGTGATTTAAAAAAAAAAAACAGTTTCCTGGTTGCTGAATAGAAAAAGGATCAGAAAAGAGGCTTGGGAATAAGGAAAGTACTAGAAATATTTGGCTGAGAGATTGAAGAAGGTTGAAGTATTGAAGTATTGGTTGTACATATGTAGAAAAAAAAATAAAACCCTGAGTTATTGCCTCTATCTTGAATGTCACTCATGCAGGCTTTTTACCACAGAATTCTTGCTTGATATCTGCCAGAAGGACTGCTTAAGAGTGTTTTTCTTCTGAATTACTCTTTTCTTTATTTATGAAATTACATATATACCTATATATAAAATAGTTGTATGCTTTTTGAGGTGGGTTAGCCAGCTACATAGTTTGTAATAAAGTCAATTAAGTGGTTACTACTAAGTGGTTATGCAGTGCTGATCTCCTGGTGTTTAACCAAGAATAGTAGAACACACAGATGTGGAGGTATTGTCTCTGTATTCTTGAAGTCACTGGATCACAAACAACTGATTAGGGGAAGAACAAGAAGAGCAAACGGAGGAGGAATAAACATGAAGGGAAGAGTCAGATCCCACGCTCCTGGGGGTTTCCTAGAAAACAGGTGTGCTCTTTAATCTGAGTCATCCGCCCTCTCCTAGAGCCGTCTCTTCCTTAAGCGGTGAGGATCAGAATGAGCAGGAAGAAGAGAGGGGACACTAAGCTCTTGATGCACCCCAGTCTCCTCAGAGTTCTATCTGATCCTGTTTCCTTTCAATAAATTAAATACTGTTTTATGAAGGATGTAGACTGGGCCCTGCAGGACCCACTGAATGGACCAGGTCAGATTTCACCCCTACTCTGAGTTTGTATTATATACTAAAAACACACAACGTAGACGTTCCAAGAGGACGGGGACGGAAGGACATGTGCACAGACCTTTCCTATTTCCACGAGGAAGCTTCTAGATGTGAGTCAGCTTTCTAGCCGATGCTTGGTTGACACTGGGAGAAAATGAAAGTGAGGTGCGTTTCAGAACATTTGCCCGCTTAGATCAACTGGTGCAGCGCAGAGAGACTCCAGAGAATGGCAGGACCCGCGCGGTGTCCATTGCTAGCAGCCACAGAGACGGACTCCCGTTGTCCAGGAAATCTGAACAATCGTATTTCTTTGTGTTTTAGATATGAACATGCATTGAGAAGGCCTATGCATTTCTATTAGTCGCCATATTCAGAAAAACAACACCAGTGTCCTTCTGCTCTGTGGATAAGCTGTTCAAAATGAAGGCTGAGATGTCAGCGAGTTCTCTGCTAATGGCACTTTATCTTCACAGGAAGACAGCTACTCCACAAACTCCGAGCCTCCGAAGCAAATATTCCCCCAGGCTTCAAAGATTATACAAAGGCTTGAAGCTACCTCTTTCATGAGAAAAGTTACCGAAAGTCGAAAATTAACTGATTAAGGACATAAGAGATGTACTCAGATAATCAAACACGATGCGCCCGTCTGTCGACAGCTCAGACTGATATGTGAACATTTAATTTTCACTTTCATTTCCAGCCGGGAAAGGAAAAGGCCTCAGCCAAGAAGTCTGGAGTGCCAATGTGCTCCTAATCCTTTGTAGCTGGCTGTCCTGAAGTCACTGGGGGCCGACTGACCTTCCTTTCTTCTAAGAGGAAATTGAAGCCTGTTACCAACTCTCCCAGAGTCCAAACACAGACGCACACCACTACACGCACACTCCAGATCTTACGGGCCTGCTTCCCTAGCAAACGACAGAGAAACAAACGCCACAACCTGCTTCTAACAATCTGCTGCATATACCAAGCCTACACTCTTGTTTTTTTTTTATTCCCTCACGTGGGCATGCTCTGGGATTTGTTTCCCACTTTCTGCCGATCCACCCATCATTCCCTTCCCATTTAAGTCTTTTGTCACTGAAAAATGACACATGATTGCTGTGTATTTGGGAATGTTCCACAGCATGAGCTCCCACTGGCCCGTCTTTCCTCAGTACTGTGTCCTACAAGGCCCATAAGTGTGGTCATAAAGATGAAATGGCTCTCACCCCTCCCCCATTCAAGAAAATGAACAGAAAACACTTAAAATGGTTCTTAGCCAGGAGCATTTTATCCCTTATTCACTAGTGGTAAATGAGTCAGATATGAGTTGCCAAGAAAAGGGCTGCCTTACCCAGAATCCGAGTACAAAGTGAGTCATCTCCCTCCAAACACCAATATATCCTCCAAAATAACTGGCAAGAATTTCCTATAAAAAGAATTTGCCTTTGCTCTTTCCATCCATTTAACTCTCTGATTTTTTTCTATTTTTTCAATTTCCTGTGTGATTACAATATTGCATTCACAACAAAGGCCCAGGGGCCTTCCCTTTCTTTTTGCCTGCTGAGCAGGGGGATGATTCTGATTGCAAACCTTGGGTCAATCTCCCGTGTTCTCTCCACCCCCTCCCCGCCCCCACCCATGTCTCCATTATCCCGTTCAAGAAGTCATACACAGTTTAACTGAAACACAGGATCTGGTTCCAGGAGAATTGTTTTCTGTCCCTTTGTTGAGGGAAATAAAAAAACACAGAAGATAGTTCAAGTCAAACCATTCTTTTCTCTCGATAATAAAATAATCACAGTTGGTATAATCTGTCTGAAAAGGATAAACAGACAAGAAACCTGGCTTCCGCTCTGCCTTTATGTTCACCAGGACTCAGCATTCATGTGCCCTACGTGTCCTCAGTGGAAGGGCAGAGTCACGGGGAACCGAAACCGGGTTCATTCTTACAGATTCTCAGGAGCCAAGCACAAGATTTACCACAGAATGCATAGATGTGCTTGCAGAGGTAGCGCCTGCCAAAGCCCCGAGATTTTTTATATTTCTTGGGGTTCACAACATCTCATGTTATTGTTAATCATTGGAAGTGCTGCAATTTCACGGCCAGAGTTACTTAGAATTAACTTCGCCCAGCGTGGAATTCACCGCACTTTGCTGTGTTAAATGTATTCTGAAGAAAAGCCTTGCTCTTTTCGATCCCACACTAACAGATGTTAGCTTCCTTGGTTTTACAGCCCTCAGATGACAACTAACTGGTTTTGGCCTTGGGAATCACTGCAACACCTCTGGATTATGAACCTGGTTCAGTTCTGAGCTGGGGACAGCGGCGGGGGGGGGGGCTAGTTCACATAATATCAAAGATGTAAAACACGTTTCCCCCTCTCTCCAGGTACTGCAGGGAAATGCCTTCTACTTCAGCATCACACAAGGGATCTCCCCATTGGTAATCTTCTCCTCAGCTGGTTACAGCAAGAGAAAACATAGGCAGAAAGATTAAATCTCTTGTTCAGTATATCAACTGTTTGGACGCAAAAAAGATGTTAAATCCATTCAACTGGGAGTATCCAGCTAAGGCAAGAAAGCCAGAACGGCTCACATTCATGTGTTTGGGAGGTGGCAGGCTCTGATGTTACTGATGCAGGGGAGCTGGAGCTCCTTCTCATAAGCAAGCCCCAGAGTGATGCCTGACATAAGCCCAGAGACAAGATGTGACCTTGCAGCCAGCTGTGGAAAGCACCAGTCTGGCTGGTCACAGTGGACTGTAAAGAAATATTGAGGGTAGCATCCTCGTCAGGATGAGGGAATGGGCAGGACAATGTGCAAGCTGAGAATGGTTCCTTAAAGAGTAAGAAGGCAAGCCTGCTCCCCACCCCAGTCTGGGCACATATGAAGACAGATTGAGAAATTCTCCTCATGGAATATAGAATAGAGTCAGCCTCATTTCTCCTAGACTTCACACACACTCCTGTCTCCTTGGCAAGCACCTTCCATCTTTACACACATAGACCCAAGGAGACCCATGTATGTATACAATCCCTGGCCTCTGACCAGCATCCCACACAGCTTCACCTTCCTGTGTTCCATTTCTTATATTAAAAATTACGAATGATGAGAAGAAGAAAGAACGTCTGGGAAAACAGAGATAAGGAGGGGAAGACATGAAGTCCCCAAGCAGTCCCTTCCAGGGTGACCTGCACTAAATTGCCCAGCGAGGAGTGGTTTTTCTCACCATCTATCTCACGCTCTCTTTCTCTGTGAGTTGTGTGCTCCAACTCTGTTTTTCCCAGGAAGAATGAAATAGTTGAGTTCTTCACAGCCTAGAGTATATACTCTGCCATCTGTGGCTTTGGAGAAAACACCTGGAGAAAGTAGAAGATGTAGGCGAAGAAGAAGCAGGAAGAAAGTTCCAGAATGCCAGCAATGAGTCTGGACATTCCTGGCCACATGATCCCCCCCCCCCCCCCCATGCTGGGTCCATACCTGCCATCTTCCTGAGCGAATGGCTGTTCCACATCGACCGTCAGAGAGGCCAGTGCAGACACGGTCTCCGACTCCTCTTGCAGCTGAGAACCAGGCAAAGCACAACCCCTTGCAACAGCCACCATCTTGATCGACTTCCAGTACTTGCCTAGAAAAAAATCCACATGTTTTGCAGGAATTTTAGATCAATAAGTAATCACAGTATGAATACAGGTTCAAGTCTTTTTGCTATGCAGTTGTAATTTGGTTTCTGAACTGCCGTAATTAAGTCCTTTTGGGGGGAAGCTAAGGATGCCAAGTTGTGAAGTACTCATGGTCCCAAGCCAAGATCTCAGCCTTGCTTGGAAAGCAATAAAGCAAGGAGTAATCTACGGTCTAATAGACTTGCTCACAGACTGACAGATGTCCCTACAACTAAATAAGCAAACTCTAAGCATCATGCCCTTTTCGAAACCCTCAAGAGACCCGGGAGTTAGAAGTCTCCTGGAGAAAAATGAATGAAACAGCAATCTTAAAAGTCACTACTTGAACCATTACCTTGCTTTTTTAAAAAAAATGAAGTTGGAACACCAAAGGAAAAGAAAACCCAGAGATGCCAGCATGAATTGAATGGCACCTTTGCCAGAACAATCAGGTTTGTTAGTCCTGGATGTTCTTTCGTTCTCCACCTCAGGGTGTGTATTAGAGCAATAATTGATTTAAAACTTTAATATATACGCTGGCTGATGTTGGAATTCGTCCATATGCCATATTGATCTTTCTTCTTTTCTCTCTCTCTTCCTTTCTCTTTTTCTCTTCCTTTTTTCTTTTTTGGCACAGAAGAAGAAATGGAGGGAAGTGGGTCATTTCTTTTAGAAGTTCCAGTGGACAAATGTTCCAGGGCAGAGGCAAAGGCACACAGTCACTAAGACTCATTTTATTTTATTTTATTTTTTGATATTTTTTGTTGTTAAGGGTTGAGTGGTCTCAAACACTCAGTCAAAACTGTCCACTTTCAAACTCTGTGCACTGACCAAAAAGAAAGGAACTTGGCATGCCAAGGGTTTACTTATTTTAAAACAAGAAGGTATTGTTTGAGAGCAGAAGATAGAGCCATACTGAACTGTAAAGTAAGATCACAGCCCTGGGTCCGGTTCTGCTTTCAGCCATTTTTACCTTGTGTGTAAGTCTTACTGGGATCTTGTCCTTCCCAGTTCTAATTTATGAAAGGGGGATCAGTCTCCATCCACTCTCTGCATCAACACGACCTTCAGATGTAGGTGCCCACTACTGCTACCCTTACAGTTATCACAATTCTGGCCATAGTCTAGGAACCCAAACCTTTCAAATCTTTCTTACCAAATAAGTTCAACAATGGACTCACAAGCTTTTTTTTTTTTTTTTTTTTGAAAATAATGCTGCACCAGATTTTCTTAACCCCACTAAAGAAAGGGATGACCCTGTTGAGGAGTTCTGTTAGCTGGTGACATCAGTCCTGCAAGGTAAAAACCTCAGAGCTCTCAGGAGTAGAGAAATAGCAGAGCTACCTATGGTGATGGCGACATTAGGGTAAGTTAAGAGGGGAAAAATGGTACTTGAGAAACAAGCAGAAGGCGACTGAACTAAAATGGAAGGAGGCACAATGCCAAGTGTTCGTGGCAGAGGAAGCAAGATGTTGCAGGGATCTGATCACTCTGTGGCTTATTGAGGACCATCAGCTGGTAGGCACAAGAATGACAGAGGGTGAGGTGAGTGAGGCGGTTTGGTAGGCAGGGACTAGCTGGCACGTAGTCTTGAACCTGAGACAGAGAACTCAGTTTTCTTTTTAAAAAGGTTGCTCTGGAGAAACGAAGAAGGGCAGATAGAAGGCTGGTAAGAGTGGAAACAGGAAGATCAGTTTCATATCTCATCAACCTAGAGGTAGAAAGGCAATGAGGTTTAGGGTGTAAGACTGAGGAGACACAGGCAAGGGGCTTAGGACAGGGTATGTCTGAGCACATTCTTCAGCATCCCTCTAGCTTTCAACTGTGAACGTTATCCCTGATGGACAGATCCGCTCTAAGTCTTAAACTTTTCTATATAACAGTGTCATTATTGTCTGACCCAAGTCAGGAAATACATAGGCCCCCACCAACTAGACAGATCTGCATGGGGCCTCAGGAGCTATCACTACTGAGCCTTGTTTTGGTACTCGATATCCAGGAAGCTAGTGCCACACACTCCCTTGCAGATGATCTGGCGTATCTACAGCCTCAAGAAGAGCGTTCTTGGCCATAAAGGAAAGAGACGTATTTACATCCACTAGACGATGAGGAAAGACAACACAAATTATCGGTAGCAGCCGTTGAGAACCACTGACAATGGCGGCCCTTCCAATGTTACTACATGTATGTGAGTAGCAGAAAAGCCGTAAATCGGTGAAGCTTTTTAAAATATATTTTAGCATGTATAAAATATACTGCAAAGTTAAGATTAAAGTTTGACTTTATACATGACTTACTGATTTAAGCAAAGTCTATCAAAACAAAGGAATAGTCAACACTAGTAATACACAGATAGGCCACTATCTGTCTTCATAAAGGAGAAAACTTTAACTGGAGGCAGGTACAACCCAGACGGTGAACTATAGAGTCAGCTCAAACCCTGTAATTTATGGAATATTTTCACATGATGTGTGGATTTTTTTCTTTTCCGAAACAGATGTGCAAAAAAAAAATCATATCTAATGGCTTGGGAGTAGTAACATCATTAGCACACACGAGAAATGATCCAAGATTTGCTATTGGAGTTTTCAGGGACTGCTGTTCATAAAGTAAAATATCAGTAGCCTGCCACTCTTGGGTGCTCGCTCCTACGGCAATAAAACTGGCGGAGGAGACGGGTTTTCAGCTCAAACTGGGCGAACACTGTCCACTTCTGTCATGTTCTTTATCCTCATCCATTTCTCCCACCATGTAAATCTTCCCACTTTTCAGCACGCTTTAAAGGAAAAGAACAACTTAGCATTCACCATTCTGCAGTTTTGTTTTTCCTGGCCAGGGAAAGTGAAGAACGAATCGACAATAAAAGCACAAAGTGGATGGTGGAATGCAGCCAGGCCAGAGCGGGCGGGCACGAAGTGTGGACAGTGTGATTGGGTTAGAGCGGGCGTGAGTGTGGACAGTGTGGGTGTGAGTGTGGACAGTGTGCTCAGGTCAGAGCAGGCGCGAAGTGTGAACAGTGTGCTCGGGTCAGAGCGGGCGTGAGTGTGGACAGTGTGCTCGGGTCAGAGCGGGCGCGAAGTGTGGACAGTGTGATTGGGTCAGAGCGGGCAGGCGCGAAGTGTGGACAGTGTGGACAGTGTGCTCGGGTCAGAGCGGGCGCCAGGGGGGCGCCTGGCAGGGACTGTCTGCTGGAGGAATGACCATGGGAATAAATAGGTAGCTTTGACATAAGGAGATTTGTGATGGAAATAATTCACTGACCTTGGAGCTTCTCATCCTCGAGCCCCAAGGTCACTTTGAGACTCCTGGGCCTGCCAAAGATCTCCCTTCCCCATCTCGTTAGGAACCTTGGAGTACTCATACTGAGATTTGTAGGTTTCACCTTTTTGCCGTTCGATGAGACCCTTCACCTTTCCACAGCATGCTCTCCTAGGTGGAAGGCTGCCTCTGACTCCAACCACAGCGACACTTGGGGTTTGTGATAGGCCCAGATCCTAACTTCGCCGTAACTTAATATTTGTTAGAATCTGCTCATAGCTAAATGGAGAATTTTATGAGGACCCAAAATATTGCATAGGTATAAAAATAAAGATACTCTTAAAATTTGACGTATGAATTGAGTGGCCAGTTAGTGTTTTCCCACAAACTGGTACAAGTTTGCCTCCTACATGTGCACTCCAGCATGGTATGTATACGGGCTGACGCAGTCCAGCATGGTATGTGTACGGGCTGACACAGTCCAGCGTGGTATGTGTACGGGCTGACGCAGTCCAGCGTGGTATGTGTACGGGCTGACGCAGTCCAGCATGGTATGTGTATGGGCTGACGCAGTCCAGCGTGGTATGTGTACGGGCTGACGCAGTCCAGCATGGTATGTGTACGGGCTGATGCGGTCCTGCATCCATCCGTCTTGGGCAGGGGCAGGGTTGCCAGTACTGGTTTATCATTCACTTTTCATCCTTCCCGCACATCTGCTAAGATGATAACGGATGGTCATCTGTGGTCCAGGCTCCTCTTAATTCCTTTCTCATTCTTTATTTCTGAGTTTGTCTTTTGAAAAAAAGGAAAAGGAAAACCCGGGCAAGAGCTGGGTTATCATTTCACTGAAGTTTTATGCAGATCTGAGAGTGGATGGCCATTCTTCACCCTTTGCTGTTATGGTACCCTTCATATTTAACCCTAAAATGAATCTCTTGTCTTGCTTCTGCTGACCTTCCCTAGTGGTACGTGTCCCTACAGTTTGGATTTTATTCATTTCTCTAAACAGGTTATTTGTTAATTTTTTTATTACGTTCATATTTTGTTGAACCCAATGTTCCTAGGCACTGAAGACTTGAGTTAGGGATACTTGCCTCCTGAAAGAAAGTTCACTGGCATCTTTCAGAACCTGAGTTAAATAACAAACAACTTCTCTAAGACCTCCCAAGCTCTGACTGTTGACAGATGCTACACGTGTGTGCGCACGCCAGGCTCCGTCGTGAGCGTATACACCTTCCTCGTCACGTAGGTGCCACTGCCCCCTGCTCTTTAGGACGCTTCAGCTTAGTTTTCTCCTCTCTCTGTTGTTTCCCCACATCTTAGTGACTTCAGTAATATATTAAAGTTTATTCTTTCGTACATATACTAAATATCTTTGTTTTTAGGTGGGGCCTGTTGAAGCTTCTGTCCAGTTATAGCTGAAAGAGGAAGTTTGTGGGATTCTAATTTTACTTAGAAAATAGGGTGGAGACAGAGACACCTAGATTAAAAAAAATGGACTTTGATATCACAGTCCTACAGAGGAGCAAAATCTTAGGTTTTTGTTGTTGTTGTTTGTTTCCTATTGAGAAGACCTTCAGCAACATACCTGGCCTTGCGAGGTCTCAAGTGGTCATGAATGGTTCACATTGCAGAGGTGTGTGGGGACCAGACATAGCGTACGGAGATACAGAGCAAGTGCTCTTCCCCTTAAATCCAGCCTTCTCCT